AAGGTGGCCAAGGACGTTGTGGGGGAGTACTTCCGGGTCATCAGGTGGGGGGGGGTGCATGGTGGGATGCATGGGGGCCGCTTTGTCAGATCAGGCGACAAGATGAGGCTCTGCGTGTGTCTATGTGTGCATGTGTACATATCCGTGTGTGTGTGTGTATGTGTGTGTGTGTGTGTGTGTGTGTGTGTGTGTGTGTGTGTGTGTATCCAATGCACGTGTGCACACGCACGTGCATTCAGGATTGCAGCAGCGCGCGCAACTGCGGCTGGATAGGTGCCGCATGCTTGCATCAGCAGGCTGACTCCTGGCGCCAGTTCGGGCCCCAGGCGGCCGGGGCACAACGTGGCTGTGTGCCCGACCGACCAAAGGTCGCCCGTGCCCACTTGCCCACGCGCGGGGCCCCTCTCTTCTGGTCCCAGGCGGGCCGTGGACGACCACTCAAAGGCAGCAGTGGCGGCCGCCGCGTGCCTGGAGGCGGCGGCAGCGGAGGGCGGGGGGCTCGACCCCAGCGGGGCCGCCCTCCAATTCTCTGCAGAGTGGGGCGCCGACACCGTGGCAGAGGTGGGCGGGGCGGCGGGCGGCAGGGGTGCCGGGGCCAGCGCCAGCGCGGCTTGCGGCGCTGGGTGTGCTTTGCCTTCGCTCGCTTCTGGGTTTGGCTGGCACGCTATCAGAGGATGGACGCAAGCGTTTTGCTGAGCTGGATTGCTGCGGTTACAGCTAAAGCTGGCACACCTCGGCTCGCCATTGGGCATGCCACCTCCTGGCACCCTGCCGACGCTGCCCCTTCTCGCCGCCGCCTGCCAACCCCAATGCGCGGCCGAACCCCCCCCCCCCAGGCCATGGAGACCGTCACCGCTGACGTCACCCAGCTGGCACAGCAGCTTCCCGAGCTCGGCCTGCGCGACTGGGCGGCCGCGGCGATGGAGCAGGCGGTGCGCGGCCACGTGACGGCGGCGTTTGGCGCTCTGGACGAGCGCGCGGGGCTGGCGGTGAAGGCGCTGCTGGCGCGCCTGGGGGACGGCCCGGACAAGCCTGGTGAGCGCGGGGCGGCGGCGTCCGCTCGGGCAGCGGCGTCTCGTCGGCATGATATTCGGTTGGCTCGCAGCTGCAGGGGTGAATTGATCCACAGTCACGGCATCGAGCGTCTGGTGCCAGTGTGATTCTGGAAGCGTCAACGATGCGCGGCTGCTGGTGTTTGCCCAAACACCTGCTCATCCCCCCACCACACATTTACACACACATACACACACACACACACTCACATGTGTTCACATTTCTGGACCCCCACAGGAGCCGATGCGGCAACTCCCCTGGCGGACGCGTTTGCGTGCACCTCAGAGGCCATCCAGCGGTGCACCATGGCCATGCTGCAGGTGACCCGGGGACGCAGGTTGCAGGCCGTGTGCTGGCCCGCCCCGGCTTGACCTGCGGCGCACTGCTCGTGAGGGACAGGCCGCACTCCCTGAGCCTGCATCGCACGCACCCATCTGCGCTGGCCGTCTTGGTCCTTGTCAACCATGAATCTCAAGCGCGCACTGTGCCTGCACCTTCTGCCCAGGGCCTGCGCGCGTACCAGCAGCGCCACGCAGCCCTGGTGGGCCCCGTCCTGCCGCAGCTCGGCGACGTAACCGCAGGCCAGATGCAGGCGCTGCTGACGGGGCTGGTCGGCGGCTTCATGGCCCTGGGGCGCGTCAAGGTGCTGCGGGGCGGGCGCACACACGCGAGCCGCTGCCCGGTTGCGGTTGGTGAACCGCGCAGCTGGCTGCTCTGATGGCGCGTATCTTCTCAAATCATGCCGTCTTGCTCGTGCCCGCCGCCATGCATGGCTTGCTTTGCTAGTTTTGTGGAAGCTGAAATCACAACCAGAGTCAAAAGCAAGAATGATCTTAGGTCAGGCTCTGCAAATATCTGGGTTGGGCGGCCACTGACACGCCACCGCCCCGCAGGATGACGCGGTGTCTCTGCTGCGAGAGGGCGCGGCGGCCGCGCCCCCCTCAGGCCATGAGGCCGGCGGCGCCTCTTCGCGCACGCGCGCCTGGAGCGGCGCAGGCGCCGGCAGCGGCGAGCTCAAGACAGGTACGCGCTCCCCGTTGCCGCCGCCGCATCCCCGCTGCTCGCTTGGATTTGCTTGGCATGTGCGTCCGCGCTGCTCGTGCACCGCCCCTCGCCGACTCTCTCCCATAATACGCTGTGGCGCGCGCGCGCGGTGGCCCCAGGCCCACTGCTGCTATCAACCAAGCTGTGCCTATTCATGGAGTCCGCCACGGTTCCCGCCGTGATGGAGGAGCTCGCTATGAACTTCCCGCCCGAGTCCGGGGACCCGGACCAGCCGCCGCCCTTCCTGGCCGGCGAGGTCGCGCGCCGCATGGGCACCGCTGCGCAGCTGCTGCTGGCGGCGTACGTGGAGGCGCATGGGCGCGCGCTGGCGCTGGCGGTCGGGCGCAGCAGCGGCGCCACCAACTGGCTGGACGCGTCAGAGCCCAGGTGACCGCACAGGCGGTGCAGCGCCGCAGGGCGTCTTTAGGTGTCACAGGGTGGGGTTGCTTGGAATCCTGATCTGGCAGCCGTCGGGGGTGAAAAGCCGTCGTCAGGGGTGGGAGCCATGGCATTATTGCGCGCGCTCCGGCACGCTTCCAACGCTGGTCGGACACGTGGAGCGTGTGAGGTTGCATGCCGCCGCCAGGATAAGGCCCAGCATATGCTTGCCGCGGCACTCTGGAGGCACAACTCCCCCCAGGTC